CACGGAAGCTTCACCAACTGCAACTTCTCCAATCCTGATAGTGAACAAACAGTTTGCGTCTTTTTTGACCAACTACTCAAAGTAGAAGAAAGAATAGTAATTTGAAAAAAAGATCTATATAGCTGCAATACATACGCCAATTTTAACAACACATATGGCTCACCTGTGTATCATGACAATCCGTTCTACAGATGGATATTTAATGCGGATTGTTTTGCATAGTTTGCGTAATTCCTAAAGAAGTGCGCAAAGAAGATTAGTGTGCAGCTTGAAAACAAACTTTGTAAGCCATTTCGTCGTAGCTCTCATAATCAAGCCTCACAACTTTCCGACCATCAAAGGTATCACGAGTCGTTCCAACGAACACTGATGTGGCTCCGCATGAGGGGCTTAAACAATCATTACAAAAATAAACTATCTTTAAGGCAGCGTCCCCTACTGGGGTGTACCTAGATCTCACTACATTGCGATAATGCTCCAGACTAAGGGAACAGTGAAGTCCGCAGCAAAAAAGCATGCTGGGGAGGGCTAAACCTCGTCTCGAGTCTTTCTGACACCGCCCCTTTCCAAGCTCCGCCCACCGCCTAATTGAACACAACCAAGGGTTCCTTCACGTTACGCACAAGATGCGGCACAGCTGCATGGCACAGCAGGAAGGGATTCTTAGGCTTGGTTGTTCAGTTAGGCGGTGTGCGTAGTGGAAAGGGGCGGTATCCGGAAGACTCGAGACGAGGTTTAGCCCTCCCAAGCATGCTTTTTTGCTGCTGACTTCACTGACCTCTTAGTCTGGAGGCCTATTATCGCAATGCAGTGAGATCTAGGTATATCGCAGTTTGAGAAGACGCTGCCTTTGAGTAAATGCTTACATGCCTGTTTATCATTCGGAGTACGTCGTCAATATTGAGAGATTCGTAGCAGATTCGGATAATATCATTTGAAAAGGATTGAAGTAACTACAAAGAGAGAAATGAAAGGAGACTGTTGACGAACACCAACTAGCGATAAAAGAAGTACCGTTAGCATATGTTCTGCATCAGGGTGATCCGTATCAGATGCCACATCCAAAAATGATATACGACGATCTTCTCGCGCAATCGCCAGGGCTTTTTGCAAATGTTGTTGATACGCTGGCCAAAGCACCTCTTCAAAGTAACCAGGAATATCGGGCGGATCGTAACTACGTCTGATGCGTCGCCGGCGACAGGTATCCTGTAAGAACTTCCGTTACTCATCTATGATTAGGCAGGTCCGAGGCTACCTGATTGAGAGTGAGAAAAATCACACGATCACAAAGTTCAATGACATCTGCCCATTCTGTTAGCATGTTTCCCTCAACGATGACGTAATCATACGCTAGCATTCCCTGAACAATTTTCAGATTTAGAAGGAAGAACCCCTTCCAGGGAAAAAGGAAACAAGTGACTTTTATAAGGGCGGCTGCAATACGAATATCAAGTTTATGAGCTATTCTAAATGCAAAGACACCGATCATTAAAGTCAGAAAATTACTACGAGCCTGAATCAATGTGGAACCGCTACGGGTCTGTGAGCTGCTGAGTCGTAAGAGAATCTTTAGGCGTTCAATGGGACTACTTCAAGCTGAGGTGATTCTAGAGTAACGCTTACTTACCGCCTTGACTGCGTTGACTAATTTGTCGTGATCCACAGAAGTTTTTACGTCGTAGTTGTAGAAGAAACTGGGGTTATTCGCGCATTTTCTATGCACCTTTTCGACCTGAGAGAAAACCAGATGAAACTTCTCTCAATACGTGTAATCTCAAACCTTTTCACTTGAGTAGTAGAACTGGTCCTGATGAACAATTGTCACAGTAGCCTCATCCTCTTCAAACTATAAATTTAGCATGGAACACTGCAAAGATAATGCAAGATAATGCTCACCATCTTAGCCAAAATTTTCGCGATCGTAGTTTTACCCGAATTGGTGCATCCCGCAATTGCTAGTACTCTTCCAGAAGATGGGCACTCGTCTGCATTATCTCCACTTCCTTGCGAAACGCCATTCAAAAATGACATTCCACAGTAGCCTCCGAAAAAGTTGAACTTCCTAAACAGCATGACATTTCCTTTACGAAGTATGTAGACAGAAGAGTCACGTGCACATACGGAAACACGTTTGCAGCGTAATGTTTCGCATTATAAGAAAGCGGAGAATCTACAACCCGCGAAAGAGTATCCTCACAAAATCGAGACTAATGTTAGATATCTACATTGGTAGATGATAGATGAAAAGCGTCTGACAATAAAATAAAGCTAATGGTTGTGCAGGAGAACTATATACTACAGTCGAGTGGTTTTTCTGCTCACAAGGGATTGGTCAAAAATCGAAGTGGCCAATCCAGACA